TCTGAAAAGAAATTGCATTTTTGAGTTGCATTTTTTGAGACAACGAACCGATAGATCAGCGCAACCAAAAATTGGTTCTTGAAGTCAGAAAGAAAAGCTATGGGACCATTTTAAGTTCATCTTCAGATGCTGTATGGCTTATTTCATTGGCTACGAAACATCTGAAGATGAACTTAAGACGATCTTAAATATAAGATCCGACTATGAATATTGCCTCTAATATATAGGCTTTCTACAGTAAACCATTAGTCATAAGCCGTAAGCAAATTGATCAATCACAGTCGATGATTCTTCTTACAGTCCAAGAATCATCGAGTGGGATTGGTTAATTTGCTTACTGCTTACGTCTTAAGTTTTTCTATATGTCCGCCACCTAAGCCGTCTTAAATTCCAGATACTTCGTAACCAATGAAATGAGCCGTATACTATCTGAAAATAAACTTAAGAGTCTTAAATTTTTAGTCTTAAATATAAGACTCAACTATGTGTGTAAGTACCGGCTTATGAGTATGATAGCGGTCTAATATCTCTCTATCTGTCTCTCCCTCTCTCTCTCTCTCTCTCTGTTTCTCAATATATGGCTCCTAATAAGGCTTCTGCTCCAACGCCACTCAACGTTAAAAGATGATTATGATAATTTGTATTATGATAATTTGGCAAAGCCATTCTCCGATCAATAGTTTAAAGTTGAAAGCCTTTAGAAATAATTCAAAGTACGTCACAAAAATTATAGGTCACGTTTGAATACGTCCCCTACGTACTTAGCAGTCTAATATATTATAAATAGGAATCTGATGGGTTTGGACAGACAACGATTTTTTCTATATCGATTTTCGCAAAATCGATCTTTTCTGTTAGATTTTTTAAGTGAATCGATTTTTTAGTTAGTTAGCAATGCAAAGTCGATTCAAAAATCGATTCTCATAGTGACGATCGAACATTCCTAGTCCAAGACAATTAATCGGATGAGCACGTCCCGCAATCTCCTCTTGCTGGGAACGAGCCGCCCCGGTAATTTTATTTCGTCCCGTCGATCGGTCGGATTAATTCGATCGTCGGTTCATTCGGCTCGACGAATGGCGAGCAGTCTTGCCGCGGCGATGACGCCTCCTCGATCGAATATTTATCGATTTCGCGAGTCGCTGCTCGCTTCTCCACGGCCGGCAATTAATCGCGTTCCCCGAAATAGCTGCTTTCTCGTCAATATCGTAACCGCCGCTGCTGCCGGTCGACGACCCTTCGCGCTACGTGCCAGTGTAACCGATGTATTTCGAGCAAATTTCCAGCTAAATCTCGATTCGCCGTGCTGGCACGCGAGCGCGCGCGTTACACGATCACCCCGATCCCGACTTACGACATCGCGGAAAACCACGACGGTATAATAGCGCCAACGCAATGCGCGCTCGCGGGACGCATTTCTTTCTTCCTCCTTTTTCTCTTCTTTCCCTTCGCGTATAGTCGCGTTTCGCATTCCGCGCCCGTTCGCTCGCTCGCCCGAGCGCGGGAAAGACAAAAACATCGGTCGCCGTGTCTCACTGACCGAAAACTAGTTCCCGCCGGTCTGCCCGCGTTACATGAGCGTAATTATTGGAAGCACCGCGAGAAATCCAATGTTGCTTATCTTTGCCGGATATCGTTTAATAATTAGTAACCGGCGAGCTGCGCCGAGACATTTACCTCGTTATCTTGAAAGTGTGCTGTTTCCTTCAGCACACGCCGACGAGCGAAGATGTAAGCAACGCGACGTGAAAAACACTAACGACACGGAACGTGGACAGCTCCTCCCGGAGAAGCTGGCCCAGAAAGGAGACAATCTTGTACGCGACGTACAGTAAAACAAACGACAAACGTTCCGAGATCGGTTTCGGAAACTTTGGTCTTAGAGTTATAAGATTAGTAGACCTTAAACTAACTCGGACACGTCGCGTAAACGACCAGCTGATTCACACGATTAGTTTCACAAAATTGTTGCTGTTTATGAAATTGTTTCCTACTAATTATAACAGTTTGCTAATTGAGCTTTCGCGGAGGCACAGTACAGACTGGGATGAACATCAAAGTCCTATATTGCTTTGCGATATTTGCAATAATTATCGATATATTAATTAAAGAAGATTTGTAAATGATCACGCGAGATATGATAAACGAGTTGTAGTGACGACTTCTGCCATCGTGCGCTTGACATTAGGTCAAACTGAACAAAAAAGTCCTCCACCACTTTCCTAATAACTTTTATAGATTTTTAATTGTTAATTAGATAACATTAATATGTTATCATGAACGACCATCCGCCAATCTTCTTTAATTTTTGTATTTTGTTTTTTGTTCATCAGAGCTTTTTTTAGACTTGCCATTCAACAAAAATTAATCTCCATTAGAAAAAAAAGAAACTGAAGGTGATCCCGGGATCTTGAAAACCACAAGTGACAGAAACGATAATCGAATAACGCGTTGCGTAGTCGCCTTCGAATCTTACAAGAGATATATATATATTCATTCGGATCGACTTTCGCTGAAACCAATATTTGCGATGCTATCCAAACAGTAATTCCAGTCGTGCGCTTCGCCCGTCGTACATGGCGTTGTGAGCGCCGCTTAATCCGTGCGAATTCCGCGCTCCGAAGGTAGGTATCCCGGTGGAAAAGAACCCGCCGCGCATCCTCCCGCAGGCCCGAGCCTAATTCGTTTCGGCGCCCTGCAGGTCGTGCAATCACCTCACCTGCCGTCGCTAACACGGCAGTCCAGGGAATCTCGGAAACGATGCATCTGTCATCCGTCGGGCTTCGCGCGCGCGTTCCCCTCAAAGCTTTCTCTCTCAAAGTGAAGTCCAGGCAGGAAAATGCCCCGCGGGACATGCTGATCGAGAGCAGAAAATCACTCGTGATTTCTTTCAGCATAATCCGTGGAACAATCGTTCAACGCGGTGTCTTTAGCGGATCATTATTGATCATCCCGGAGAAAGGATAATCGCACCGAGATTTTCGCAGTTTTAATTGCAGCATAAAGAGACGAAACTCGAGAATTCCTCGTTAATATCCAGTTTATATCCACGGTAATGGACGCATCCGTATAACGCGGAATTGGAATCGCGTGAAACGGAAAAACACAGCGCATTTTCCCTAGAAAATGTTTGTTCTCCGACAAAACATCAACGACACGTTCCATACTGAGAAAAAAATATTTTCAAATTGATCTATGAAATAAAATTTATTCACAGAAATCAATTTTGTTTCACGAATCAACTTTATACGCGGAAAAAAAATTTTGCTAATATATGGACAACTAAAAATATTAACTGCAGGAGCAAATTTTCTTGCTTTCATAGCAAAGTTATTTAGCTATCACAACTAAATAACTTTGCTATGAAAGCAAGAAAATTTGCTCCTGCAGTTAATATTTTTAATTGTCCATATATTAGCAAATCTTTTTTTCCATGTATATTTGAGAAGTTGCACGATATTCACCACAATTTATATTGATCAATTGAACCATCTCCCTTCTTCGAAATTCAGGTGAAATCGAACGCGGCGAACGAGTGGATTTTTGCCTTGCGTTAAATTTTATATCCCGCCCACAGTCGTGTGACCGCGACGTCCTCGAGACACGCTCTTGGATTTTCTCGGATTTCATATCTCGGAATTTATATTCTTTAGGTTGTACAATAATCCGTACTCCATTTCGACACACATGTTCCTCCCGCTATAAGACAAATCGCGTTGCTTGTGGGACCGTGGGTGTTTCACCTTCACACTGATTAAAGGTAAATCCATGCGCGTTCGAACTGGCCTACTTTCAAAATTGGCCAAGTCGCCGACGAAACGTTCGTCGAGCGTTATTAGCCGTCTAGTTCCGTAATGCATGATTCCACAGACAAACACGTGTGTACACGGCGCTAAACGGTGAAGGACATATATCCGCTTGATTAAACTGGACGAATCGTGCCGCGCGCAGACGGGATAATCGTGCAAAAATGACGCGTGTGTGTCTGCGAGAGAGCGGAGGAGCCGTAAAACGGCACCGCCACCGAGTTTCTTAAGCCTCTCAAGGATATGCGATAGGCGTATATGCGTATCAAATGGCATAAATGCTGCTTTCGAGACTATTTGCGCAACCTTATAGCTGCGCATATGGAATTCCATCGGCACAAATAAAGAAACGAGACTTCACGCCGGCTACGCGCCGCACGCTGTATCACACATACAACGAGACACGCATCTCGCCTTCTATTCGCAAAGTCTGTCAGAGACGGTCGTCGTCTAATACTCGTTAGAAAAAAAAGGACTTCTAGCAACGCGAAACATTTTATAAATAAATCGCCTCGCGCACACATATAACCTTGGGAAGATATATTTAAATTATGTCCAATATCTCTCTCCCCTTCTCTCGCGCTCACCCTCTCTTATTTAATCCATACTCGCCATCAGTCGCGATAAATAAATGAAGAAATTCGCGTAAGGACACGAGGCAATCGATATTCCACGCCTTCCGACTCACTAGAAACGGGAGAGGTATGAACTATTATTTTTAACGAGAATATCTTGGCTAATGCAAAATGCCAAACGTCAATAGCGCGATAAAATGAAGCATTATATTTGCAACGCGAACGACGAAGATTTTCTTCTTTTGATTTCGTTCAACAGACAAAAGTATCGGGTACATCAAAAAGTTCGGCTCGATTTTCTATTCTCTTCAACTGCAACTGTCCAGACAAACCAATAAAGTTATCTTCTATGATAAAAACACATGAATATCGTCAGGATTGACTATATTTAATTAGTTGTTGAATAGTTTATTTTTTTATATTGAATGTACATGTGAAATAAATGTCCCCACGACTAAACTAAACTAATAAGAAATCATTGGGACAAGATTCGGACATTTACCTTATGAATGTATACGTGCGATAAAGTCAAATTTCGACTTGACAATCGTGCCGAACTCTATTTGACCGACCTAATATATTGGTTTCATCAGTGAGAGCAGTGTATAGCTTCACATACCTCGTTCACACGTTTGTAAGGGGAAGGCACTTTGACGGAGAGTTCCCTCAGGAGGTCCTCGGCGCTCCTCGCGACAGCCGTCGCGCCTCCGCGCTGCTCGTCGGGATCGTCGCGCGTATCACGTGCGGGACTGGAGGAGACGCTCTCCTCGTCGCTCTTCTCCTTCGTCCGCTGCTCGTGCTTCGATAGCAGCTCGCGTTGCTTCTGGAAGAACTCCGGCTCGCTGAAACACTTCTCCAGGCTGGCGGCACGCTGGAGAGTCGTCGGCGAGCTCGGGGTCGAGCGCGAGAACTCCAGCTCGTCCCGCAGCAGGTTCTCCGTGCTCTTGTTACATATTCTCGGTGGATCTTGGTCGCGGAACGCCCTCCGCTGGCTCTTCGACACCTCGCACATCGTGCTAACGAAAATCACCGAGATGGTACGTTCCTCGTCGGAGCGCGTTCAGTTTCATGGTGCGAGCATGCTCCGCATGAGCCTGAAAGGAATTTTGATCATATAACAAGATGAAGGTTGCAATTTTGGATCGTATGAAAAAGATCACGTTCCAATGATTAGAAAATTCGCGAGCTAATGATCGGCCTAGCATATACATTACTAAGGATATAATATCGTTCATCATAGATAAACAGACTCAAGCAATTACTATACAACATTTAGATTAATTTGAAAAGAAATTGAACAGAATTGCTTTGATAAAGTTGGGGTGAACACGTGAATTCGATATTAACGACTGATGTCTCTTTATGAACGTAAAGCATAAGAAATAAAATAATCAACAAGTATCAATTACAATGTATATTAGATAATGTCAGTTGTACCAGAGTAATTGAACTGAAAAATGAAGCATATCCTCTTATTAAGATATATTAGGACCTTAACTTAGTTTCCGCCCGCAAATGTTAGATGGCAATGCAAACAGTTCTAGTAATCATTACTAACGAAACAGGTAGTTTGTGATTAATTTCGACATTTCTCGATAACATTCAGTCAGCATACACAATTATTTTCCTAAACAACAATTTCTTTTGCTTTGTGAAAAATGGAACGCGATAAAGTGTTTTTTCGACATGTGCTTTTGCACTATTTTGATTTGAAAAAAA